TTTTTATTTTATTTTATTTTTTAAAAATGTTTCCTTTATTTCTTTTTTTTATGGTCAGCTCAGCCCACCCTGTGGGCGGGGCTGGCATGGCATGTGGTGCTGGGTATCGAATTGAGGTCCCTGCATGCTTGCCTAAGCAGGCACTTTAGACCACTGAGCTATCTCGCCAGCCCTGTATTTTCTTTCTGTGATGATCCTTGTGAGTTTTTTTAGTAGTAGCTATATCTCCAGGTAAAGTCTGTTCTTCAGGGATGTCTTCTGTGTGTGGGATGTTCTTGCTTTGTGTCTTTCCTGGGATCCTGCCTTCTCAATTGATTAAAAATAGGATGCTGGTATGTTTGTTTCAGTCCCTAGTCCTTTGTGGTGAGCCTGAATGAGGTTATTACTCCAGAGCTTCCCATTATTGTTACAGAGAGAGACAACTGATTACAACAGACATGACATCCTAACTAAAGTAGTATGAATAGAAGTAAAAATAGCATCAAACACAATTTAAAAACTGACAAACTGTGGTAACTATTGATTTTGTATTTAGATCATAGGAGCAAAATCTGTAGTTATATAACAGAGTGAATCATAAGCGAGGAACTTGTATGCAAGGTGTTTCATCTCGTAGAGTGGTTTTACCCTGTGGTGGACAAACTTAGGGAGGGTAGTGTGTAAAAAAACATAACTGGAAAGGAAGGAGAAACAAAGCTGGAAGAAAAAGGATGATAATAAAAGGAATGCAGAATTATAGAAGAGGTTAGCAAAAGAGTAAAGGTGTATTTGAGGCATTGTATGAACTTAGTCTCTAGTTTTGGGAGGTGGGCTTAATTTTCTATAGCTGGATTTCTTAGCTGTTCAGAAAGGAGAGAAAAAAAGAAGAATAAAAAGAAGAAAAAAGTTGACAGAAAAGGAAAAAGAAAAGAAAGTAAAATATAAACAAAAAATCAAGATAAAATAAAATGTTTTTTAAAGGGGACAGCCACATCCACCTGCTTCTATTCTGTGGACCTTTGTCCCTAAGTGGAGGGCTGCTTCACATAACTTACCATATGATGACGCATGTTTCAGACATTTCCATTTTGTTAGTCTTGCTTGGCCTCATGTGTGACCTAGTTGGGGTCTCACTGTGTGGTTGGCATTCCCCTGGTTGCCTGGATCCAATTTTACAGCAGAGGGCCAGTCACCTGGATTTCTCTGGCGGGCCAGTTGCAGAATCTTGGATTCAATGTTCATGGGATACTCTCACACCTCTAGTACCTGTCCATCATGTGCACCTTATTCAGGTTCCTAGTGCATTTCTGGCATCCCTGCAGATCATTAGGTCACTCCTCTCAACCAGCTGCACTGTCCTCAGTTGATAGAGGAAGGAGAAAATGAACTCAGACTCCTCTTGCTAGCTGAGAAGTCACAGTACGATGGAGGAAAATAGTGGTGTGGAGTCAAATTCCTCTGACCAGCCAAGCCATCCCAGAACAATCTGTCATCCTCTTCAATCCCCTTTTTCAGAGTCTATAATTTTCTTTTTTCAAAATTTTATTGATAAACAGAGAGCAATGAGACAGTTTCAAATCAAATCAGTAGTACAGTTTCAATAACTAACTCACTGCATATA